TTGCTGATTGCTGTGTGAACGGAAGGTACTTATATTGAGTCTCCTGTGTTAGTACGGGAGTGGTGCGCGAAGGGCATCCCGAAATCGACCTATATTCGGGTGTGTCTAATAACTGACTGGCTGTATATTTGCAATACAAACTCTGTGTATATCATCTAGGCCACTTGTATTGTTTTAGGTTAATTCTTGAAGGAAGGTCTTTACCCGTGATCTCTCAACTAACACTCAGGACGACTAGGATGAGGAGGTCCCGGAAGTTCTATTATATCTTGCTATTTGGAAGTCACTGCTACGGTGTTATCCCTGGTTTTTCGAATTAATCGAACATATAGGGATTGACGCAAGGCACACGCCAACCCGGACTGGAACTAGTTTTCAGCCCGAGTCTTGTACTACCTGAACGACTTCGTGTTCGAATCCGTTCAGGGCACGCTATACACCTTTGGGCGGTCAAGTGTTCACCCACTTCGTCACACTGGGCAAAATGCTGAAGCCAAAATTGATCGAGACAGTCGTCAGCGTACACGCAATCACGCGACCCGCTGAGAGACAACGCCACACACCGAAAGTGATGGAAGAATCTATCGTACAACGCATACGGTGTCAGAGGATTAGGCAGGCTCAGGATGAAGAGAAATGGATTGCGGATCTGAAGAAGTGCCTGGACGGAGAAGTGAGTGCCTTGACAGCAGAAGAGGCGATGGCATGCTCGAAGATAGCCGCGAATTACGAAGTAGATGAGAATGGGCTACTCTTCTTTTGCCCTAAGACGCTGCAGCGAGACGAAGATCGCGATGGAGTCGTCAGGATGGGGATACCCGACTGCTTACAGCGAGACTTCCTTCACCATTATCATGCCAGTCTAGAGGGCGGCCATCATGGCGTCGGAAGGACATACCGGAGGATCCAAGCGAACTTTCACTGGCGTGGGCTGTATCGAAGTGTACAACGCTACGTGGGGGAATGCACCGACTGCGAAACCGGGAAGGGAAAGCCAACGGGCCAGGGAGAATCACCAGGAAATATCCAGGGTACATATCCCTTCCAGGTGATCTCCATGGACCACATTCCATCGTTGCCGAAGTCGTTCAAAGGAAACACCGAACTACTGATTTAGGCCGACTTGTTCACCGGTTAAGTAATAGCCAAGTTGGGCCGTCGAGAGAGGCGCAGGCAGTGGCTGAGAATTACGAGGAATGCGGCTTCCGTCGTTTCGGCGCAAGCGAAGTCATCAGACATGATTGGGAGCCTGGCTTTATGGACTTCTTCAGTGCCTTCAACCGGATCGTGAAAATGAGACAGAGCGCGGCAATGGCGAACCGTCCACAAGGGAACGGCAAAGCCGAGCGAACGGTGCAAACCCTGACACGAGCCCTGAAGATGTACGTTGCAGACGTCAACCAACAAGACTGGGACGACTATGCAGAGCGACTGACATTTGCGTTGAATACGGCATATGATCGAGTGAGGGGAGAAACGTCGTTCTTCCTAGTCCATGGATGAGACCCGCGGTCGACATTTGAAGCAGTTGTTTCGGTAGGATCGACACACCGCCGCGATTGCGATGCACGGAGATGGAGGTATCACATACAGGGACAATACCGCAGAGCCAGAGAAGCAGTCAACGAGAATCTGCGCGAGGCGATCAAGTCTAGGGCTGACCGACACAACGAAAACGTTAGACCTCACCGGATAGAGGAAGGCACACTGGTATGGCTTTACCTGGATCGCGTAAAGGAAGGCTACGCCCGCAAGCTCGCACACATGTGGCATGGACCGTTTCGCGTGACCGAGCTGATCGGCAATCACGCAGCTCGTCTCGAGACCGCAGGCTCAGGGTATCGAATCTTCCCGATAGTACACCTGTCGAAGTTGAAGCCAGTGCAAACATTCCCAGATCGACCAAAGGCCGTGCTGAACACCGAAGACGACGATCGGGTACACATCGACGAGGAACTGCTGCCTGACGATAGCTGAGACACTCCGCTGGACGAAGACGAATTCGAGGTGGAACGGATCGCGGACGTACGGTCAGGGAGATGCACCCGATATGGGCGGATGCACCGAGAATTCCAGGTCTAATGGAAAGGCTATGACCAGCCGACATGGGTGGATGAAGCCGACCTCAATTGCGCCGCTCTGTTGTTGGAGTATGAGCGCGGACGTACCAGCCGCAACCGCTTCAACGTGATGCAATCACACGAAGAAGGGATGAACGCTGAGTAAGTCATCGATGGGCGGGCGGAGATAGTGTGTGGGGTGGCCACACACTGGGTGGGTATGTATTTGTATGATGCGTAAAGACACCTGGCAACGACCGAGACAAGAGAACGGAACATCGAAAGTTAGAAGCTCAAGTGATGGATGGCATTACGTACCCAGATGAATGGATCAAGATCGATGTCCAAGATCGATGATCGAGACTGATGATCGAGACTGGATGATCGGGATCGATGATCGAGATGGATGATCGAGATGGATGATCGAAACTGATGATCGAGATCGATGATCGAAACTGATGATCAAGACCGATGATCGAAACTGATGATCGAGATCGATGATCGAGATGGATGATCAAGATGGTTGACCGTAACCGATGATCAGAATCGTGGATCGAGATGTAACCGTAAGTGATGATCGAGCCGACGATCGAAGAATCAGAAAATGGAATCCAGACGTGGGGGTGGAGAGCTGAAGCAGAGAGCTGACAACCGCGCGCAAAGTGTGGCCACGGCCGTGTAAGACGATGCGCAATAGAGGTGTCGAGGGCGAGAAGCCGTGAAAGAGATAAATCTCCATCGATGCGGTCAACCAGACATTGACACGAGAGCATGTGCAACTGCAAAAGCAAGAGAGGTTAGCCTCGAAGCAAAGAAGGAACTAGCACAACGCAGCATGGTACGAACGAGGTCAAAACAAACGTGGTTGAGAGACGCAGGGCGCCGACTATGTTGATCAGCTTACTGGACACTGAAGCTACTCCTGAGGGATGAACTTGCCCTCAAGACGGGGAAGCTGGGAACCGGGATGATCTTCAATAGCGTGGCGATACTGGTTGCGCCAGGGATCTTGGCGGTCAGCGTCACGAGGAGCTTGAAACAGGTTCGCGGGACGTGGAGAGCAGTGTAGACCAGGACACCATTTCGATCGATCGCCAGGGCGTGGAAAATGGAGGAAGACAGGATCCAGAAGAATGTCGAGGTCGCAGTGTCCAGCCACAATGCTCAGCAACACGATCTAAAGGAAGCTCTTCCAGGTAGCACCAAAACGTGACCGGCGCTGCCTGCGCTCCACGTAGAGGATTGCGAAGTACTTTACGGCTCGCCGTAAATCTTCCGAGATGGGAAAGGTATGGGTGGATTCCCACGCCGCCGGACGATGCTTCGTCTGTAACTCTTCCAGTTTCCGCGACAAGGTCTGGAAAGGAAAGGAGGACTGTCCCTCTCGAAGGAGATGGGCGTCACGGGCTTCGCAAGAACTCCCCATGGCGTGGAAGCGTAGGCTGCCGAAACATTGCCCTCGTCCAAGAGTGCAGCGTCCCAATCGGAGTCGTCAGGCACAGGCTCTGGCTTCGGAAATATTAGAGGGCTTAGAGAAACGGCTGAACAACATCGCAACGTCAAGTTCAAGGGCGCTGATTTGCGAGACATCCAACAGTGGCCAGGGAGCTGCGTCAGCCACAGAAAAAAATTACACGAACGCGATAGCCTGGAACCCAGTGTGCGCGGTCAACACAAGTCGGAGGCAACTGGGTGTAGGCAGCAGGAGTCAACAGCTCGTTGCGAGGCACCAACTTGGGGGCACTACTTGCATCGACGGCAACAGGATCACGGACACTACCACCACGAACGGGCGTCCTGACTTGCTCGGCACCAGCGTTATCGTCATCAGGGTCATCAGCATCCAACTCGATCGGACGATCACGCGCGGTACCAGCGAGGTCAGACGAAACCGGAGGAGGCGACGAAGTGCGGCGACCCGATAGGGCGTGCATCACGGAGTCGTCACTCCCCGAGTCGGCATCACGGAGTTGATCAGCCGGGTCGGACCGAGCATCGCCGCGTTGGAGACGACTCAACGACGGACCGGAAGGTGACTGACAGACGCCATCACGGCCGGAAGGACGTAGACCGCGGAGGGTACTGGCGCCGTGACGTCCGGGAGAATCAGCACCGACGGACACGTCATCAGGAACACCGGAGAGATCGAGCTCCGAAGAGGGGTTGTTGGAGCGGGGAGACTCGTGCCGAGGCTTGGAGCGTGGAGGAGGCGAGGCGTCGTCAGGATCTTGAGCAGAACGATGTTTGCGGCTGGCTCCAACCTGGGGGCGATCACTCACGGAAGACGGATTCACGGCAGGAACATCAGCCGCGGCAAGGGCGACCGGAGCAGGCTGCACCAGGAAAATCAAACCTGCAACTTGAGACCGCAGGGCGAGTAAATCGGCAGAAGCTTGGTCGCGCTCTTCCTCAGCGATGTGACAGGCCGTCTCGGCCTCCAAGACGCGGAGGCTTAACGCACCGTTCTCGCGAGAGATGTCCTCCACCTTCTGCTGAAGGACGCCAAGTTGAACTTGAAGAGTCTGGAACTCCTCTTGCTCAACGCGTGTCGCATCGGCGTCCTGCTCCAACCGAACAACGTCGCCATGGAGAGAAGCCGCCCGCAATTCTATGAGCAAAGGATCAAGATTAGCAAAGGCACAAAGTCAGACCAGTGCCAAACGTACCAAAAGTTTGAGAAGCGGCGACGGCTTTGTCTCGGGCAGTGGTGATCTCGTCCAGTTCGGAGGTGAGGCGACGGGTAGCAGCCTCAGCGACAGCGGCCGCGTCGCTGAACCGGTCCCGCTCTTCACAGGCGTGCTAGTGGAGAGCTTGCGCACGATCAAGCCGAGACTCCAACTTCCTCACGTGACGTTGAAGGTGGGCTTCAGAGTCCTCCAGCTTCTTCAGGTGGGCGGATCGTGTTCTCGGCACTGTGGAGAGCGACGCCCTGAGTGCGAAAGGTGTCGCGAGCGTTGCGGAGGTCGACCCGTAGTTGATCACACTCGCGGTGAAGGGCAGCAAAGCGGTGAGCATCGGCAGGAGAAGATTGAGTCGCAACGGCTCGAGCGGCACTTAGACGCGTCTCCAGGGCATCGATCTCACGGTGAAGACGTTCCAGCTCCTCGATGTGGTCACTGAGAGTCGTCTGCAGACGAGCTCGCACGTCCAAAAGCTCCGCAGAATCATCGCGACGATCCTGCAACTCGTCCAACGCCTCGCCGAGGTCCTCCTGGGCCCGATTACGTTGGTTGAGCACAATGGAGTACTTGTGCTCGACGAATTCGACAAAGGGACGAGCAGCGGCGGCGAAGTTGTCGTCCATCTGCTGCTCCAGCTCACGCACACGAGCTCGTAGATCGCGACAGACCAGCTACAGAGCGTGGCGGTCTTCGACCAGAGACTCCAATGCGTCGGCATGGTCGACCACGGCCGCGAGCGGACAGAAGCTAGATCCAGCGCAGGAGGCGCGAGAGGTAGCGTGGGCAACACAGACGATGGGAGCAACGCACGAGATCGAGACCGAGGTGCTGAAGGACTCAATGAGGAAGATGAGCAAGAGTCGCAACATCAGGAGATGCACAAGCATACGCACCAGATGTGGAGTCAGCAGTGGACGGGCGCGCGCTGGCGCTGGGCGCACCAGGCGCTGAAGAAGGTGCAGAGGATGCGAATGACATGCCGGTCGATCAGCGTCGGAAGAATAAGATCCGGGAAATGGTGTGGCAGTTAGGGACTTGCGTGCGAGTGAACCGCTGTACAGTCCCGTTGCACACAGGGGGCGATTGACGTGGAGCGACCACGGAAAATCCGGTCAAGTGTGACTAGGAGCCGGATGATCGATTGAAAGGCGAAGATGGGTGCAAGACGTGTCGCACTTGGTGTGACGAACATACCAGTTGAAGTTGGCTGCCCAAGCCGAACCCTACCCTACACCTCGATCGTCGATCATCGATCATCGATCAACAAGAGACACTTCGATCAACGGACATCGATCAACAGGTAAAGAGTGGTGGGCCGCAGGCAGGATGGGCAGCGCTGATATGGGTACAAGGGTACCATGTTTACGGCACATGTAGGTACAGTTCAGGATGAGTGGTTGGAGAGATAGGCTAGGGAAAGGTAGACTTCTGAATATTCTTTGGACCTCTCACATTAGACCCCCTCTGCTTTGGCCACGTGGCATCCTATACCAGGCTGGGAACGTATATTGGCCCACCTGAAGACCAAGGAACCACCTCGCTTTGCAGCAGAACAACTCGTCGACACCTACGCAGCTTGACTAGGCTCGACCAACCCCCCCCAAAGATCCCGCTAAAGGAAGCGGCAAGCAACAGAAAGGAACAAACATACACACAAGGACACGTAGATTGGTTATCAGATCTACCCACATACCCGACAGCCGCGTGAAGAAGTATCCGCGCGGC